AGGTAGTGGACCGAGTTGACGTCAAATTTTCCCCAACCGGGGGTTAGACGTGCTTGCACCAAGTATCTTTTTTTGAAGCAAGATTTTTACGGCTGGATGCTCTTCCTAACGCCAACCCAAACCCTAGTAGGGCCCAGGATCCCTCTAACTGAGGTGGGAAATGCGTGTTAAGTGCCTTTCCCAAGGGCACAACGTCTGGGTGCATGTCCGGACATGTCTGGGTCCAACCCTGGGGATTGAACCTGGGTCTCCTTGCTTGACAGTCGAACGCTCTATCCACTACACCACACGGACGCGCATGGTGTGAAGAAATGGCAAGGTTTTCAGTCCCTACACTATAGCTTTAGCAATTAGCTTTGAGTATCTTTTGGTTCATTTTTTTTGTCATTCCAGGATCGTAGAGTGCGTTTCCTGATCTGTACTGATGTGGCAGCTCGAGGTCTGGACGTCAAAGGGATTCCATATGGTGAGGGGCTGTCCACAGTTCCAGTAACAGTTCCAGTAATGTGTTTGTCAGCTTGCTGAAATTAGGTCAAACAATTATTACAACTGTTACAGCAACGTCCCACATGTGCAATTGTCCAAATCTTTGTGAGCAGTACAGTGGATGGATGTAGATGGATTTTTCTAAAGAAGGGGAACATTTTAGACATTATGGATAGTTTTTACGTACATATACATGTATCAGATACATGAAGGTTATCTGAAATATCAAATGTCTCCTTTTCACCACACAGTTATCAATGTCACTCTACCCCCTTCTGATGAAAAGCAGAACTATGTGCACAGAATTGGCCGTGTTGGCAGAGCTGATAGGTACGAGTGATTCATCTTTTCCTCAACAATGTTTTGACCATGACGTCTTGGCTTTTTTTCTTAGCAGCTAGTGTCAAAAATGATAATTATGATCTTTGCTCTCCTTTTCAGAATGGGTCTTGCCATCAGTTTTGTGTCCACTGTTAAGGAAAAGGTAGGTTTTTAATGAGAACATTCCCAACTGTATGCTAATAGCAGTGATTAATATAATTGTGGAATACAAACAGATCAAAACAGGAGAATGACATAACTCTTATGATCAGTTTGTTGTAACCAGTAGTGTAGTGTGTTGTAACCAGTGTAGTGTGCTGTAACCAGTAGTGTAGTGTGTTGTAACCAGTAGTGTAGTGTGTTGTAACCAGTAGTGTAGTGTGTTGTAACCAGTGTATTGTGTTGTAATCAGTAGTGTAGTGTGTTGTAACCAGTGTATTGTGTTGTAATCAGTAGTGTAGTGTGTTGTAACCAGTGTATTGTGATGTAATCAGTAGTGTAGTGTGTTGTAACCAGCTGTGTATTGTGTTGTAATCAGTAGACTAAGTGTATTGTGTTGTAACCAGTAGTGTAGTGTGTTGTAACCAGTGTAGTGTGTTGTAATCAGTAGTGTAGTTTGTTGTAACCAGTGTAGTGTGTTGCAACCATTGTGGTGTGTTGTAACCAGTAGTGTAGTGTGTTGTAACCAGTAGTGTAGTGTGTTGTAACCACTGCTTGGTGTTGTACCTGTACAGGTGTGGTACCACGGCTGTCCTAGCAGGGGGAGGGGCTGTTACAACACCAGACTGACGTCCCAGGGAGGTTGTGCCATCTGGTTTGACGAGCCCCAGTACCTGGCAGACATTGAGGAACACCTGGGAGTGATAATCCAGCAGGTGGAGCCAGACATGAAGGTTCCTGTGGATGAGTTTGATGGGAAGGTGGTGTACGGTCAGAAGAGGAAGGCTGGGGGTGAGTTTTATTCTTTGTTACCCTACACTACTTATGTACAATGTAATTTGTTATTTCTCAGATTAAAAAATATTATTAATGCTGAACTGCTATCTGTACACAAAACCGATGGCTTTGCAGGGCTCAAAATACTGGGTGCAAGTGCACCTTAGTGCACCCAAATTTGGAGCTGTGCACCCATTTTTCTTTCAAATATTTTTCGGTTTAACGTATGTAAAGATGTTAAATGTAGTAGTTAGAGCATATTCTTAACATCTAAGTGTAAGAAAAAGTAAATACAACTATTGTTATAGTGGTTTTCTTGAAATGAAACATAATTATAGTTTTTGCAGATATTCTACTTATTATATCTTAATTAATATATGGTGCACCTAAAATATTTTTTGTGCACCCATTTTTTTAGGTTGGGTGCAACAGTGCACCTATTCCCAAAAATGAATTTCGAGCCCTGCTTTGTATTGTTGGTTCAAAGCAGTTTGATGCAAACATTGTTGTGTTTATTCCAGGTGGGTTGTACAAGGGGCATGCCGCCCAGCTGGCCCCCACAGTGAGTGAGCTGGCAGAGCTGGAGAGGATGGCACAGACATCCTACCTGAACCTGAGGGAAAACCAGCAGACTCTGTTCAAACTGTGAACCACGTGACTACTAGCACATCGACAGAACGTACTGCACCTGCGCAAAACCCATAATGTAATGTATTGTGCACAGCACTTAGGCAGAACGTCTCATATAAGGTCATATTCGCTCATATATTAAAAGGTTCACACTCGGTCTGCAGTTTCCAAATGATGTGTCCAAAAAATATTGTCTGCAACAGATGAAATTCTGATGCAACGTTGACCAAAAATCCGAAAAAACGAAAACTGAACAAGACTGGCAATGAAAACATACATTGCCATGGCGACGGTGGTTGCTGTTAGGGTTATTGTTTGGCACTGCCATCATTTCTTGATTTTGAGGAAGACTTGGTAGATACAGTACACTCCTCCCCTGAGTGTATAGTGAACGGGCCCCGGGGCACAGAAAGTAGGGCCATCTGGAGCAGACAGATCTTCAGGGTTCCAGGAATATGGGTTCCAGGAATATGGGCATAGATGTGGGTCAGAGAAATGCCTGTGGACATTCCGCATGCCTGTGGACAAAATGCCTGTACAATTCCTAGAATTCTTGCAAATTGCACACAATACTGTACCATTAGGCTCCTCACTGAGACGTCGCCAAAAATTGGGGGTTTGTGTAGGCGCAGTACATTCTGTCGACGTTCTGTGACTACTGAACTGGCAAACTCTCACAAATGTCTTCCTTCTCTGATGTGTGCAGATCTGCTTCAAAGCAAACAATAAGGCACAGCGGGAAGTTCTCATATTGTTAAAGGATGAGCAAGAGAATTTACTTTCTGGCAAAATCTAAATTGCAATCCTCTTTCCCGTACATACCAATAGTGATCTGTTTCTTGTGTGTCTTGGGAAGGTAAGATACACTAGGATCAAAAGTGCCATTGGGTTCTTTAAGGCTGAAAGTAAAATGTAGAGAACGCCTTTCCAAGGCTTTTGTGCCTCTAAGATAGCTATTTGCGACGGCCTTGGGGGCCGAATGTTAATGAAGATCGCTTCAGGTATTGAAAGAGCACACCAAGTGTAAGCTCAAATATGCAAAAGAGGAAAGAAATATTCCCCAAAGAGCTTTAAAGTTTATTGTAGCTTTGCAATAGTAAAATACATATTGCTGTTACTGCCGGTTCCATAACTGGAGACATGGCTGTAAGGAAAATGCAACAAACTAGATGGTGGAAAGCCAGACCATAATAAATAAAAAATGATGCTCTACATACAATAACTTGTGTCCGTGGCATATCTACATAAAAATACACATAAATACATAGTATTTTATATGGCAATGACAACCAGCGCAATGCTGCTAATAGATATAAGTATCTGATACCAGCCCAGAAAAGAACAAGAAACAGTCATGCCTTCAAATATCAGAGTTATCAACCAAGAATTGAGGTATTCAAAAACTCGTATTTCACCAGAACTATATATATCGTAGACTGGAACTCGTTGCCACCAAGCACAGTTGGGGCATCATCACTAGAAAGCTTCAAACAACTCCTGCAATCAAATGTGCAAAGATTGAGTGTAACAAGTCGTTCGGTTTGATATAGCTAGCAGCAGCCGCGTCGCGTGCCTGCAAAGTTGGTGTGACGCTGAAGGGCGGTTATACCGGCTATATGGATACAGATACAGATAAGTTGACATTAGGTCTTGTTCATTCTTACACTGGTTGATGGAATGTGATGTGATGAAAGCAAAGGTACATGCATTGGAAGATCACATACATATGATTTGATTTTTTGATTTTATTGAAATTGCAACAACGCAATACACGCGGAACAGAGGCAGCTGTTGCTGGTGTTGTGTCCTGCACATAGAAACAAATACTGGACAGACAATACTCATTTTCACTTGAGTCTAGTGGGGGAAAGTCGTATAATGTGCCTTTCCCAAGGGCACAAGATCGGTGGCATGTCAGGACTCGAAACCGGGACCTCTCGATTCCGAGTCGCGCACGCTGCCGTTGCGCCACACGACCCCACAAGCCATACATAAGGTGTAACCCTGGTATGACTGGGAACAGCAGACTTTAAACTGGATAGTGAGTGAGTACTCAAGACTACTCCACATACAACTAGAGTTCCACGATCTCATACCTTCGCCAAATGACTTTCTTATGACTAAGCAAGTATACATTAATCCCCCTGATTATGCAAATAGGATCCTCAATTGCATGAATTATATCTGTTGATCATATTCTACACCAAAATACAGTCTAATGATTGTGAGATGTGCTCTTATGGGGGTTTTACTCCAGGTCTTTCCTGCTGTTGAACTTGACAGCACCAAGGACAAATTTGCCTGTGTGGGGAAGGTGTTCAGCACCAAGGACAGGTTTGCCTGTGTGGGAAAGGTGTTCAGCACCAAGGACAGGTTTGCCTGTGTGTGGGAGGTGTTCAGCACCAAGGACAGGTTTGCCTGTGTGTGGAAGGTGTTCAGCACCAAGGACAGGTTTGCCTGTGTGGGGAAGGTGTTCAGCACCAAGGACAGGTTTGCCTGTGTGGGGAAGGTGTTTATTCTACCACGGAATAAACCGCGAAAATAGATGAATAGGAAAATTGGGCAAGAGTGTTATGTTTTATACTGTAGCCACATAACAGCTTATTCTTGAAAACGTTTATTTGTGATGATAGAAATTAAAGGTGCCCTGTAGCTGCATTTTACCAATTTTTTTTTAACGAGATTGACATGAACGTTAGTCTCCTTCGTAATTAGATAATCTAATCGTCCTTCTTCGACACACATAAGTGCCTGGCACCGAAACGGGCCGTCATTGGTCGTCATAATTAGATCATCAACTTCACATTAATTATGCACGGCCGTTCTGCACACCTGTGTAAAAGCAATTTTGGTATGGTCCAAAATGGCGATTTCGTACGACGGGAATATTCTGGGCTGATTTTTTTCACAACTTTCTGGGTACTTTTAGACGTTTTCGTCGCTAGAATGTCTTAGTAAGTGTGCAGCAGAATGTCTGGGAGTTTGTGCTGTCGATTTGTGCCGTTATGGTGATGTTTTGAGGAGAAAATGCGGATTTCCTGACCTGGCGAATTTTGGAGAAGACAAACATGGCGACACGGGAAGAGTAACGTAAGCGTGGTATGGAGACGACTTCACTTATTGTTGCAGGTAAACCAGTACATTGTTTGGCTGGCATTATTCCTTAGCAAGTAGTACGAACATGTCAACATATTCCGTAAGAAATGAACTATTTCTACAATGTATATTAGGCAGCGACCGTTCCTAATTTTACACAGGCTTAGAAAAGTCCATGAAGCCGCGTTTTCAACATTTTTAATGTATGGTGCGCTTGTAGAGTGTTAAATGTATGTGCATGTCGTTTTAGTCAGTTGTTCACCGTTTTGAGGCTGTATTTGTCAAAAGAAATTTTGCACTAACCAAACCATTTTTCTCTTTATCTCCACGTGGTTCAAAACACCTGTTGGAATGTGGCCGTGTAACGTTACATAATTATTTTTGATGAGGCCCGCCAAAAATTTGCGTGAACAAGATGGGGTCCTCTAAGTTTCAAGGCGCCGAAATGAATACGATACAAAACGTTTGAAAACTAGTTATGTCGAGTTCATCATACTTTCGTTCTTCATTATCATCTGCACCGCGTATGATGTATAATTTAAAAGCTTGTTCGTTTCGTTTTTAGAGTAATTCAGTAAAGAGTAATGACCAAGCCCAAGTACTTCCCGGGCCCAAATACTACAGTTGACCATGCTTGACGGTAGCAATTCCTGTTTTCAAAACATTTTGCGCCCAGTTTTTTTTCGTATTCCACATAAAGTTTTAGTTGAAGGGGGTTGATTTATTTCATTGTTGTTTCTAGCCCCATTTTATGGTCATTCTGAAGAGTTTTCGTAGAGGTTCGAGATATGTGTTTGTTTTAAAGTAAAAGATATTTAAGGAGTGTATGCGCATTGCTAGTTTTTATTATTTGAGACAAGTGTCTAACTTCTAATTTCTGTATATTAGTTAAGTGATGACTGATGCAGTAATGAGGACTTTTGTCTGAACCTGACAAGACAGACTGGACCAGACCAGATGATTTGATGACCCAAGAGGATTGAATATCAGGTAAGAAAAATTCCAATTCTGCATTTTACCTACCATTTACTCGGCATTATTTGAAATAAGTGTGTAACTTTTAACGTCTGCATAGTTAGGTGGCTGCCGACTTATATAGGAGTGAAGACTACTGTCTGAACCTGACGACAGATTGGACCAGGCCAGCTGATTTGAAGACCAAAGAGGAATATCAGGTAAGAAAATTCCCAATTCTGCATTTTAACTAACAGCTATTTGATGTTATTTGAGACAAGTGTGTAACTTCTAATTTCTGTATAGTTAGGTGGCTGCTGACTGATGTAGTAGTGGTGAATTCTTTGTAAACCTGACAAGAGAAGATTGGGCCAGACCAGGTGATTTGAAGACCAAAGATGACTCTCAGGTGAGAAAATCTGAATTCTGCATTCAATCTACTATATACTTTGTTATTCGAGACAAATGTATAACTTCTGATGTCTGTATAGTTAGGTGGCTGCTGACTGATGCAGTATTGAAGACTCTTGTCTGAACCTGACATTGGACCTGATCTGGTGATTTAGAGACACGAGCAAGATGACAACAACATCCACAGGTGAGACAATGCTTTAGAATATCTGTTTGACTCTAGCACTCTTCTCTTATGTCGTACACTTTATAGAAATAACACACATGTAGCAAAACATCTTTCACATTAATTTTGTATTTCCTTTGACTTGAATAAATTACTACACTGACTTAAAAAGTACATTACACTTCTTGAGCACTTGTCAACATTTCTAGAGTAAAAGGTTGCTTACAAGAGTTCATCTTTACCTGGTAGCTAGTTACCCATCCATACAATAGTCATGTACCTGGTATCAATTATTCTTTTATGATTATGTAGTTATAATTAGGGTCAGCAGTCCTGATGTTCCTGTCCAAACCAGGCTAGATGAGACAGCTGACTTTGAAGTTGACGACAGAGTGAAGAGTTTGTACAGGTGAGACAATGCTTTCAACTTTATTTTTTCTCTGTGTTAAGAAGTAAGAGGCATAGCAAGCTACTTTTAACACTGTGTACATATCTAAGCAAAGGGATACTGGTAGTTAAATTGCAGGATTTTATCACTTTCATAGTCACCTAGTTGCCGGGAAATTTTTGGGGGAGCATCACACTAACTAACTAGAGTTCGACAATCTCATACCTCCATGAC